TACCCAGGCTTGGTCCAGAAGATCAGGGAAAACTGCACCATGTCAGAGCTGGGGGCCCTCCAGGCCCGATCCCAAAGCACCCCTTGGTGCACTGCCTTGCTCGAGGGCAGCACCCAGAGCCCTTCTGCTGCCCCTCCATCTCCCAGATCCTTCTGGGGACCTGCATCACAGAGCTGTTAACACTGCAATAAATGAGATCCCCCCCGTGCCCTCCCAGGCAGCTCAGAGCCCCCAAGGTCTGGGATTTCACCCCCATTCCGGGGGCAGGGCAACTTTTCCACAGCTACATCTGCGCTGCGAGCGGGTTCCCGGCTGTGACAGCCCCGGTGCAGACGGGGCTGAGCTTCCAGCTGGCTCCGTTCCCTCCACAAACAGATGCAGCTCCTAGAGCAGGGTCTGATTTATTCAGCAGGAGTCTCGCACATTAAGTGTAGTTAAGTCTGAAAACAAATCTAATGACTTTAAAATAAATAGCCAACAGAGGACTTGAAACTAAAATTCCTCCTTCCTCTGACACCCGCCATATAAACAATAATAATTATATAAAACCGTGTCTAACACATGACTACACAAGGCTCTGGTGACCAAGAAAAGCACACGCTGCTTGTCAGACATAATTGCACATTTGGTTTTTCAATTATTTCTTGTCAAGATCCAGAGCCCACCATCTGAATGCTGACATTAATTATTGGGAAGTAGTTAGTTTTACAGTGGCATTCTGGAGGCTCCCAACGCTCACCCCGAGGCCTGAGGCTCCCAGTGCTGTTCCTACATTGCCCTCCCGTCCCACTAACCCCTCCAGGACTGTCACACACACTCACACCGCTGGGGGACACCCAGTCTGGTCCACCATGTGCAGAAGGGGCTTCTGAAGAAGCTTCAAGAAACTCCAGTGAGCATCAGCAAGGGAACGGATCCCCAGCCGTGTGCTCACCCACAGATGGGGCCAGACCGTGTCCATGCTGGGCCCCAGCACAGGAGAGACACGGATGGAGCTGTTGGAACGAGTCCAGAGGAGGCCACTAAGCTGATCACAAACCTGGAGCCCCTCTGCTCTGGAGCCAGGCTGGGAGAGCTGGGGGGGTTCCCCTGGAGAAGAGAAGGATCCAGGGAGACCTGAGAGCCCCTTCCAGGGCCTAAAGGGACTCCAAGAGAGCTGGAGAGGGACTGGGGACAAGGCATGGAGGGACAGGACACAGGGAATGGCTTCCCACTGCCAGAGGGCAGGGATAGATGGGATATTGAGAAGAAATTCTTCCCTGTGTGGGTGGGGAGGCCCTGGCACAGGTTGGCCAGAGAAGCTGTGGCTGTGGAACAACCTGGGCTAGTGGAAGGTGTCCCTGACCATGGCAGGGGTGGAACAAGACAATCTTTAAGGTCCCTTCCCACCCACACCCTGCTGTGATTCCATGAATTTCAGAGTCCATGTCACTGACTGATCCGTCTTCCAGCCGAGTCCCCTCCCAGCCCCCCTGAGCACCCGACTCTTGGCATCACACTCCAACAGATCAGTGCCCATCATGCAAGGAAAAATCCTGCCTTTTATTGGCTTTTAATTTGCTGCCTTTTAATATTGTTGACTGTCTCTTTTTACCTTGCAAAAGGAAGAAAGAAGCCTCTGATCTACCTTTTCTGGAGTGTTCAAAAACATGCACAGCTTTGTCAGGTTGTCTCTTAGTTGTCATCTTCTCCAAGGCAAACAGCTCTTCCTGCTCCCTTAAAGGAAGGGCTTTTTTTTCTGTGCTCCTAAGAATTCTCTTCACCTTTTAAAATTTCCCATTGCTGAGCATTCAGTGAGGTGCAGGAACCACACAAAGTTAATGGGGGAGGAGAACAGAGTGCTCTGCCACCACGAACTCTTGGCTGCACAAACTGACCCCTGTCCTTCCAAAGGCAAATCCAGGCCCAGCAATGCTGGGGGTGGTGAGATCATAAACCCCTGTGCCTCCAGAGCCATCAACATTTACTTGAAACAGAATAAAATCAATTCAGTACAAGAAAAAAATAAAAATAGGATCGACTCAGTACTATGGTCACCACTTAAGATCAAGCATGGTATAGTTAAAAAAAAAAGCAGTTGCTAAAAGATAGTCCTGACAACTTTATTTTGATTATAGTATTATATTATATTTTTACTGATATTAATTGTTAAAAGTCCTGGAAACGGCACTTGATTCTATTCTATTCTATTCTATTCTATTCTATTCTATTCTATTCTATTCTATTCTATTCTATTCTAATATTTTTACTAATTGTTAAAAGTTTCCTCAATAGTTAGCAGTTAGAGAGGGTTTCAAGCAACAATTCTGAAAAACATCTCCATGCATTGACAACCTCACAAATTTAGCCAAATCCTCATTTCACCCTTCATCTACTGACACAGCTTTCTTGAAATACTACATTTTGATTCTGTTCTATTATTTTTAAACAGGATTGGACATTTTCATTTCTTTGACCACCTTTTGTTCAGTCAGAGAGATGACAAAGTGGGTTTTGCTTCCCCTTTTCTCCAAGAGAAAAGCCATGAGCAGCCCCACGCTCCTCTGGGCGTACAAAGGACCAGGGACAAGGGCAGGGATTTATCCCCCACTGCTGGGAGCTCCATCCCTGCCCTGGGCAAGGGAATTGCTCACACCAGGAGGGTGCTCGGCCCCAGGGGCACCCCTGGGCAGGGAGGACGCCCACAGGGACACCCCAAAGGATCAGCTGCCCCAGGGGGGTGAACTCACCCCCTGCTCTGTGAAACCCTCCAGTGAGAGCTGCACAACTGAGCTAGAGCTGGAATAAAGAATGCAGGGCAAGGAAGTGATGCCTGTGCTCTCCTTCCAGCACTTTGTTCAGGCTGGTTCCCAGCATCCCAAGAGCCAGCACTGTTGGAGCACCCTGAGGAGCCCCCCCAAACTGGGGAAGGGACCTTTTCCTCTGTGACAGACACCCAGTGCTCCCAGAGGTGTTCAGTGCCAGTGCCACTGGAGCAGAACAGTGGCAGGAATGAGGGTGTTCCATCCTGACACCACTGGCAGAGCCAGGGCAGTGGGCAGGGAGCAATCACGGTGGGAACACTCGAACCAGGCAGGGACTGAGCATGTTCAGCAGCAGGAGGCAGGGAGAGGATCCACACCACAGGCTCTGGAGATCAGAACAGAGCAGGCTTTTAACGTGGAAGGACCCGTTGCACCTGAGGAATAAAACTTCTGCAGGGCTTTCAAGTCCCTGGAGGGGACAGGAGAGTGGTCCAGCATGTGGAGCGATGGTGTCACTGGAGGTGCAAAGGGGAGGACACGAAGTGCCCTTGAGATGAAGGAGGTCAGCAGAGCTGAGAGGAGCACTGAAGCTCACTGGTGCTCACTGGAGCTCACTGGTGCTCACTGGAGCTCACTGGTGCTCACTGGAGCTCACTGGTGCTCACTGGAGCTCACTGGTGCTCACTGGAGCTCAGTGGTGCTCACTGGAGCTCACTGGTGCTCACTGGTGCTCAGTGGTGCTCAGTGGTGCTCACTGGAGCTCACTGGTGCTCACTGGTGCTCACTGGTCCTCACTGGTGCTCACTGGTGCTCAGTGGTGCTCACTGGAACTCACTGGTGCTCACTGGTGCTCAGTGGTGCTCACTGGAGCTCAGTGGTGCTCACTGGTGCTCCTGCTGTGCTGCCAAGGGCAGTGGGTGCCCAGGGCAAGGCCTCGTGTCCCCCCAGGGTCAGCTCCACAAACCCTGCCCTGGGCAGGGGAGCGGTGACGAGCCCTGCAGTGCTGAGTGGCAAACCCGGCCTGGGTGCCCCAGGTTGGTCCTGCTCCTCACAGATCACACTGATGCAAAGACAGGGCTCCTGCCACCCCCTTCTGGTGTCACCTGTGCCTCTGGGGGCTGCTCACACCGCTGTGCCTCTCATGAGGGAAGGGGTGGCAGGAGATGCTGCCAGGATGGGGTGCAGCTTCCCCCCCCACAAAGCAGCCAAGGTGGCTTTTGCTGTTGTCTCTTGTTCCTCTTCCACCCTGGCGTGACCCACAGACACGTCCCGAGTGCTCAGCACTCCCCCCACAGCTGTGCATCATCCCACCACGTGATGGCACCTCTGATTTTCCCACCATCATCTCCAGCTCTTACATTTCCATGCTTCCTTGCAGCCACTCCCCTTCCCAAGTCACACACTCCCCTCCCTGGTGCTTCCTCAGTGTTGTTCCAGTTTCCAGCCTGTCACCTCTCATCTCCTACCTGGTTTTACCACAAAACCTTTTAAACCTGGGAGCTCAGTTTGCCACTTGGCTTGTGGATGGCAACAACCCAGGATTGGTTTGGAGCACTCGTGAGACCAGGTAAATCCTACTGCCACCAAAGCCACCCTTTGCTCTCAGCCCCACCACTGCCCCAGTGCAAACCCAACCAGAAGGAATTTGTGCCTGGCCAAGGAAGGAAATGGGCCCCTTATTCCACACTTTCACAGCTCTGGAGTGACTCCATCGAGTAAAGAGATGGAGAGGGACCAAGAAGCACCATCTCCAGGGTATCCCAGCAAGGTAGGACTCCCACAGCATCAGCGGGAGATGGAGAGGCCACAGCACAGGGCAGACCCACCTCAGCATGTCCCTCTCCAGGACTGGGAGCAGCAGAGACACCCCTTAGCAGGATCAGAGGGGGCTGGAGTAGTGGGACAGCCCTCTCCTCTCCTCCTACATGGGAGCAGGAGGGTCCACACCCAACCACACATGGCCCAAGGTCTCCATCCAAGAGCCTTATCCTGCCACGGCCTGTGCACTCAGCTGTGCCACCTCACACCACACACAGACCACCTCTTCCTGCAGCCCCCCAGCCCAGAACAATCCCTCCTACATCCACGTTTAGGGAAACCCAAACATGGCAGTTCAGACCTGAGCTCGGACAGCTCCCACTCACCCCTGTCCTGCAGTCACCCTTCCCCACCCCCAGCTCCGAGATGGAGAACCACATCCAAGCAGGGCCACATCCACCCACCACACCCCAGCCCAGCAGAGAAGACCATCCCTACCTGCTGGAAGAGCTCCTCTGCCCGCTGCTGTTGCTCTCGTCGGCCTAAGACACCAAAAGAAAAGGTTGTTTAGGTTGAGAAGGTCAAGGCTGCTCTGCAGAGCCCTCCAGCTCCAAACATCGGAGCTTTTCCATGCTGAGTTCCACACATGGCCCGTCCCTGGCACGGGTGGGACCCACTGGGCCCTTAACCCTGGGCTGTGGGACACTGGGGCAGGGTTCCAGCCCCAGCCCCTCCAGGGAGGCACCTCCCGAGCCGATTCCCTCCGGTGGCTCTTGCAACACCAAAGCCTAACGGGACGATCCCTCCCGTGCAAAACCAGGCCATTTTCAGGGGGGAAATAAGGCAGAAACAGCCAAATTCCAGGCTGTGCCCAAGCCCTGGGCTGGAGGGGCAGCCCAGCCACCTCCCTTCGTTAGGAACCCGCGTCCTAATGACGTCCTAATGAGCCCCTCCAGGCCACAGGGGCTGAGCAGGGAGGGCCCGGGGTCTCCTCCTGCCTCCTTCCCCGGCTCACTGATGAGCCTTCCTTGGAAAGACAATATTATTCCAAACCCAGAAATTTTATTTCTGAATTTGTGCAAATACAAGTTAAAAGATATTAGCTGCATTTCACATTTTGTGCAAATGGCAGAAACAGGCAATTCATGTGCAGCAGGATGGGGGCCAGCCAACGATTTCGATAAAATAAACCCTTTTTTAATTTAAATGCTAATGCACTGAATTAAAATTTAATAACTGAGGAAATTGAAAAGCCGAGTAGGAATATTGGAAATAAATCCAAGCAGAAACAGCTGAAATTAAAAATTCTAGAGAGTGGGAGGATAGCAGCTAAGCTGTCTTATATGATTACATTTTTTTTTTTTTTTTTTTTTCCAGAACGAAGGGGGGAAGGAAAAAAATCCTATCTTTGGCTGGCTGTAGGGCAGTAAATCGAGAGTGCTGTGATTTATTGCTCAATTTTCCTGAGGGAAAAAGGCTTTCTTTCATGCTGAAATATTTCATAAATTTCAAGCCAGCATAAATTCTTAATTTAAAAGTTATGGAGGTCACATTTAGTGCACTGGTGCAATTCTGAAATCTTAAAGGAATAGCAACCAAAAAAATTGCAATTTGATTTTATTTTTTTTTAATTCTTCATGTAAAATTTTCTTCAAAGGGATTCTCCAAGTTACACAAAGCAGAAACACATCCTGGCTTCTGAAAGGATATGAAATCCACTGGAAATGAAGAGATAAAAATCTAATTCAATTACAAAAAGGTATTTTTTTATTATTATGATGATTATTATTATTATTGTGAGCCACTTGAGGAATTTCTGTTAAAAAATTTCCTCCCTCCATTGCCTGGGAAAAGCCAGAAGGGAGGAGCTGACAATGTAATTGCTTCTGTTAGATCTCCAATCTTTTGTGAGCACTGATATGTTCATTTGTTATACAGCTGTTCAGCTACAGAAAGGATGTCAGAGCACCCATAATTCAAAGCAATCAATCAAAAATTAATGATTTGTCATGCTTACACAATGGAAAAAAAAAAGAAAAAAAAAAAAAGCTTTATGGGTTCCTGCAACTGGTAGATTGCTCAAACCTTCAGGGCATTTTCTAGAAGATTAGATCTGTGTGTACAAAAAAAGGGGGGAAAAAAAGGGGGGAAAGGAGACTTTATAGAGCCAGGGCAGAAACCTTGTGGGGTGTTGGGGCCTCGGAATCCCCCAGAGATGGAGCCCATTACAATTCCTGTCTGTTTGGAGTTTGTGCACAACCCAACCTTGCAGGTCACCCAGAGCCACATCCCCCATCACAGGCACCTTGTCCAGGCTCCTGCCATTAGAATTCCATGGGAAACCAACCTGCCAAATCATAGAACCATGGAATATCCTGAGCTGGAATCCCATCCAGTCCAACCCCTGTCCCTGCACAGACACCCCAACAATCCCACCCTGGCCCTCAGAGCGTTGTCCAAACCCTCCTGGAGCTCTGGCAGCCTTGGGGCTGTGCCCACTGCCCTGGGGAGCCTGTTCAGTGCCAACCACCCTCTGGGTCACCAGGCCTGGTGCTCATGGAAGGCACCAAATCCTGAGGAAAATGCCCAAGGCACAGCCTGGGCCCTGCCTGAACATCCCCACAGCACCTCCCCACTAAATATTCCCAAAAATGAAAATATTCCTGTTTGGGAAGCACAGAGCCAACCTCAGCTGCAGAAAACTCTCTGAGATTGCAAAGTCATTGTCATTCATCCTCCACATAAGCAAGACCTTCTTCCCACACACACAGATTTTGGGTGCACCCTGTGCAGGATCACAGGCCCCGCACCCACCCAGCCGTGTCCCCATGCCGGGTTTCCCTCCCGGTCACACCCCCGTGTTTGGCTGTGCCTCGGTTGTGATTTACCTCCCACCCAACCCCACCCTGCATGGCTTCCATTTCATGGTCTTTTTCAGATCTGCATCTGGGGTTGAGAGAATGAATTGCTGGGAACAAGTGACGTGGGGACCCCACCATCCCCACCCACTGCACGGCCCCTTCTGGGACCGACACACAATTTTATTATTTCCTTCCATTTTTGCTTACCTTCCCCACTCTGCCCTGCCTGACTTCTCTGTCTTTGTTATTCTTATTTACAATGCCATTTTTTTGCTTTTTGACCTCTTCCCATCAGCAATCTGTGGCCTCTGCTGTCTCAGGACACAGCCCAGGCCAGCACAAAGGACACGACCTGCGTGCAGGGCACGGCCAGGGAGGTACAGCAGGGACCCCACCAGTGCTGGGGAGTTTCCTCAGCAGCAAAGCCGAAGAAAACCCTTTTTATATGAAAAAGAGAGGGAAAAAAGGCACCACAAGAGGTAAGAGCTCTCAGTCTAGATGGTTTCCCACATCCAGGATGCTCCTGAAGATGATCCATTAGACCTGGACACCAAGTCTGGACGAGATCAGATCTACCCGTCTTACAGGTTTCTGGATGCTGAAATAAGCCCATCCATAGAATCCCAGACTGGTTTGGGTTGGAAGGGCCCTTGAAGATCCTCTTGCCCCAGCCTTCCCTAAATTCTGACCCTGTGCAGGATGTTATCCCAACACAGTCTTCAAGATGAACTGGTCCAGCACCAAACCTGCACCTGCACATTGTAATGGTCTCCTGGTAAAACAGGCCATGGATCAGGAGCAAACTCCCCTCTCCCCTCCTCTTACCCTTTGCTGCAGCAGATAGAGCTTTTGTCAGGATTTGGTGTGCCCTATTTAAGGTGTGTAAACAAAACACAGGAAAAAGTGTCAGTGATCCAGTAGCAGAAGGGGCAAGGTCTGCATGGAAATATGGTTTACTTGAGTTTTCTACTCTAGAACGTGACGATGTATTCAAGACTGAAGTTCTCCATGGACGTGGAAAGACATTCTCACCAAAAGTTCCACCAGGACACACCTTCACACACTGTTCCAGTTTCCAAACATGCAATTATCTGCCAACTTTTTCAGGAACAGCTCAGTTTAGTTCAGCACCCAGTGCAGCAAACCCCAGCCCATCCTAAGGCTGCAGGATGATTTAATCCCAGATCTCCAGCACCTGTGGTACTTGAGACCACATGTCCATCCAGAGCATGGGAAGATCATTTCCTCTGATTGTACGTGGTGTGTGCAGGTGGAAAAGCCCAATGAGGAAGGGCCAGGGTGTTCTCCTCAAACTTTGCAAAATAAACACAATCACAAGTTTAATGCATAGGAAATATTTCAGCCAAGTGGGTATGGGCTGATCCATGTGAGCCATCTGCTGTCCCTCAGCTCTCTGTGCAAACACCCCCCTGGGTGTCTCTGACCCTCAGCAGTCACAGAGCAAATCTCAGAAATAACCTTGAAACCCAAGACTGTGGACTGGGATCGGTGGTGGTGACGCTGGTGTGGTGCTGGAGAAGGACCTGGAGAATTCCTCAGGGCAGGCCTGGGCAAGGGGCATCTCAGTGTTCTGCAGAACATCCCCAAGCCATGGTGGCACCACCCCATCCTCCAGGCCACCATCCCACCTGAAAGGCCATCTCCTCATCCCCCAGGCTCCACTTGGACTTTCCTTCAGCACAGGGAAAAACTGGGAGATGAGCACATGTCTTTGAAAATCCAGCTGAAATAAGCTTTGCCCAGTTATTCTGCAGGAAGTCCACTGGGAATGCAATGTTGAGGGTTGCTGCTGCCTTTGGCAGGCCATGCTGGTTTGGGTTGGAAGGGACCTTAAAGCTCATCCAGTCCCACCCCCTACCATGGGCAGGGACACCTTCCACCAGCCCAGGTTACTCCAAGCCCCGTCCAACCTGGCCTGGGACACTTCCAGGGATGGGGCAGCCACAGCTGCTCTGGACAACCTGTGCCAGGGCCTGCCCACCCTCACAGGAACAATTCCTTCCCACTATCCCATCTAACCCTGCCCTCTGGCAATGGGAAGCCATTCCCCCTTGATCTGTTCCTCCATCCCTTGCCCCAAGTCCCCCTCCAGCTCTCTTGAAACATCAGCAAGTCAAAGGGGTGAAATCACCACTTAACCAAGATGTGCTGAAATGGGGCAGAGCAACTTCCAGCACACCAACATCTTTGGGAAGGGGGAACAGAAATCTCCTGTGTTCCCATTTGCCCAAGTAATTATTTAGGGAATTTCTTCATTCCTAGTCAGAAAAGCAGAGGTGCAGAGTTTTCATCTGCCAGCGAGGGAGGAGGCCAGACAGGGGGCACTGAAACACAGGTTGGAGAATCAGCCACATAATCTCCCCCATAAAACCATTTACAATTTAAAATCCGATTCCTAAAGTTGCTTTTGTACATACTGGGTATATTTAAGGTAGTTTTGTTTAACTAATGCTAATAAATATCTTTTCAATTAAAATGCTCGAGAGCAGAATGTGGTTTCGGGCCATATGCTCCTGACTCGAGTCATAAGCAAGAAGCAAATCATGTGATAAATAAGAAATGTATCAGTCAACATCTCCTAATAGAATAAAGTGTCAAAAAATAGGGGTCCAAGCAGATGCACAAGTGACCCGAGAAGTCCGTGTTTATCAAGAGGGCTT